GTTTCTTTTCCTAGAGGTGCAATCTCAGCTCACTGCGAGCTCCGCCTCCCGGGTTCACCTCATTCTCCTGCCTCAGCCTCCCCAGTAGCTGGGATTACAGGCATGTGCCACCACGCCAGGCTAATTTTTTGTATTTTTAGTAGAGACAGGGTTTCACCATGTTGGTCAGGCTGGTCTTGAACTCCTGACCTCATGTGATCCAGCCTCCTTGGCCTCCCAAAGTATTGGTATTACAGGCGTGAGCCACCATGCCCGGTCGACATAAATGTATTTTATTTCACCTTTTACACAAAAGGCAGCATGCTTATATACATTATTCCTATACAAAAAACTAAGTAATAGAATCTATCATTGTTTTAATTTGATTTCTTTTAGACTTTGAGTAATCAAAGTTTTTTTCCATTTTTATTATGCCATGTGTTCTCCTAGTACTTTTAGTTTTTACTTTTTATTCTGATATACACTGTGAAGTATGTATCTAATTTTATCTATTTCCAAATGGTTATCCAATTGTCCCAACACCATTTATTTAAAGTCCATCCCAGCAGATTGAGATGTCACCTCATGTAAGCATACACTAATGTTTATATGTACTAGGCTCTATTTCTGGACTTGTTCTGAACTTGCTATGCTGCTCTCTTGATCTCTTTGTCTATTTATGTACTAACACCACATTGTTTTAAGGTTTAGTAGGGCTAGCTCTCCCTCCTGCCTTGTGCTATTCTTGATAAAAACTTTGGAGTCAAGCTGCCTAGCCTCAAAAAATAATTTGTTGGATTTGTGACATTGTGTTAAATTTTACATATTGACTTGGAGAAAATTGACATCTCTATGATGTTGAGTCATACTATCCAAAAATAAAGGATGTTTGTCCATTTGTTCTGGTCTACTTTTGTATCTTCAGAAAAGTTTTTCAATTTAATTCATGCAGGTTTTGCCTACTTCTTTATTTCCAAGAGCTTTTTCTTTTCTGTTGTTATTGTAATTGGAATCCATTATATCTTGTAGTTTGTTATTGTAAACACGGATGAAGACTATTTTTATGTTAATTTTATATCCTGCTCCTTTACTGAATTCTCATATTGTTAGTATGAATTTAAGACTCGGTTCCAGGCCGGGCGCGGTGGCTCAAGCCTGTAATCCCAGCACTTTGGGAGGCCGGGATGGGCGGATCACGAGGTCAGGAGATCGAGACCATCCTGGGTAACACAGTGAAACCCCGTCTCTACTAAAAATACAAAAACTTAGCCGGGCGAGGTGGCGGGCGCCTGTAGTCCCAGCTACTCCGGAGGCTGAGGCAGGAGAATGGCGTGAACCCGGGAGGCGGAGCTTGCAGTGAGCGGAGATCCGGCCACTGCACTCCAGCCTGGGTGACAGAGCGAGACTCCGTCTCAAAAAAAAAAAAAAAAAAAGACTCGGTTCCCCTGAGTTTTCCAGGTATGCTATATCATCCACAAATAGAAATAGTTTATTTTTTCTAATTCGTATGTCTCTAATCTGTTCTCATAAGCTGTAATTATTTTCTCCACAGCCAAGAAGGATGGAAAGATGGAAGAAGTCCCTGAAGAAGGTGAGAGGATTTGGAGCACAGGTGGAAAGAATAACAAAAGAATAATTTTGACAAAAGTAAGAGGGATGGGGCCGGGCGCGGTGGCTCACGCCTGTAATCCCAGCACTTTGGGAGGCTGAGGCGGGCGGATCACGAGGTCAGGAGATTGAGACCATCCAGGCTAACACGGTGAAACCCCGTCTCTACTAAAAATACAAAAAACTAGCCGGGCGTGGTGGCGGCGCCTGTAGTCCCAGCTACTCGGGAGGCTGAGGCAGGAGAATGGCGTGAACCCGGGAGGCGGAGCTTGCAGTGAGCCGAGATCGCCCCACTGCACTCCAGCCTGGGTAACAGAGCGAGACGCCTCAAAAAAAAAAAAAAAAAAAAAAAAAAAAGTAAGAGGGACACCTTTCAAACCGCTGATAGGGCAGTAGGGTGTGGGCGTTTGGTTTGTTAATCCCTGGAGAGGGATTTAACGTTAGCAGAAAGAGGGTCCCAACCCAGACCCCAGGAGAAGGCTCTTGGATCTCTGTCAAGAAAGAATTTGGGATAAGTTCACAGAGTAAAGTGAAAGCAAGCTTTTTTTTTTTTTTTTTTTTTTTTTTGAATTGTCTGTAGCCGGATCAGGCGATTCATCATGCAAGCTCCGGTTAGACTGCTCAGCTGATAGCTATACAGGCCCCACTCGCCTAGTTTTTTTTTTTTAAGATGGGTTTTGTTAATGTTATCTTACTGTATCGCCTCGCTCCAAGGCTGGATAAGCTGAGACGCGGGAAAGAAGCTATAAGAAGTAAAATGAAAGAACGGGTACTCCATAGACAGACAAGGGCATTCCGGAAAGCAAGAGGAGGAACGCATCCACCTTAGGTAAATGCTTGTGTAGATATAACAGCGAAAATCATGGGCACACGTGCTGTACTACCCAGGCTTGTGACAAAGGACTTTGTGTGACTGTTACCAAAACACCAGGAGTTAGGTCTAGGTCCTGCTGCTGGCCACAACAAAAGCCAATCACTGAGATGACATGTATTGCCAAGGAAGAAGCCTTTAATTGGGTACTGCAGCCCAGGAGACAATGAGACGGGACAGGAGGTCAGTCTCGAACCCATTTCCCTGACTAAAACTAGGGGTTTATATAGCCCGGAAGAAATGCAACACTGTGTAAGAAAACCAGAGGAGGGAGGGGCAAGGAGGCATCTGGTGCTGGTGATCTGTTGAATTTCAGTTCTTTGATAATTTTTCTGAGAGGCCTGAAGGTCCTTTCCTGAGAAAGAAACTCAGATAAAACAGATACAAGTTTCAAGCTTTAACAGCAGAAGGGTCAATGTCTATGTTTATCCAAAAACAACTGTCTATAGGACTATTGAGCCAGGTTTAGTAACTACTGCCTTTCCCAGTAATCTATATTATTGTTAAAACAAAACTTTTAAGAATACTTTTGTTCTTGGCCGGGTGTTGTAGCTCACACCTGTAATCCCATCACTCTGGTTTACGCCTGTAATCCCAGCATTCTGGCTCATGCCTGTAATCCCAGCACTTTGGGAGGCGGAGCTCAGGAGTTGGAGACCAGCCTGACCAAAATGGCGAAACCCTGTCTCTACTAAAAATACAAAAATTAACCCAGCATGGTGGTGCACACCTGTAATCCCAGGTACTTGGGAAGCTGAGGCAGGAGAATCACTTGAACCCAGGAGGTGGAGGCTGCAGTGAGCTGAGATCTCACCATTTTGCACTCCAGGGTGGGCAACAAAGTGAGACTCTCTCAAAAAAAAAAACAAAGCCAGGTGTGGTGGCTCATGCCTTTAATCCCAGCACTTTGGGATGCCAAGGCAGGTGGATCACCTGAGGTCAGGAGTTCGAGACCAGCCTGGCTAACATAGGGAAACCCCGTCTCTACTACAAATACAAAAAAAAAAAAAAAAATTAGCCAGGCGTGGTGGTGCACACCTGTAATCCCAGCTATTCAGGAGGCTGAGGCAGGAGAATCACTTGAACCCAGGAAGTGGAAATTGCAATGAGCTGAGATGGCACCATTGCACTCCAACTTGGGCAATAAGAGTGAAACTCCATCTCAAAAGAAAGAAAGAAATCTTTCAGGACACGAGGACATTTCCTGGGTCTGTTAAGTGTTAGGTCTGTTTGGTAAACATTATTAATTTTTTCTCTTAAGTGTAAATATTCTGTGACTAAGCATGTGTAACCTTCTGGGAATACAGCCCAGTAGGTCTCACCCTCATTTTCCCCATCCCCTATTCAAGATGGAGTCGCTTCGGTTGGAATGCCTCCGACCGGATCATGTGGGGAAAAGCAACTGTGGAATAGTTGAGTCCTGGAAAACAGGCCTCAGGGAAGAGCAAAGGCTGGGGATGAGGAAAGGACAAAACACCACTAGCTCTGTAGCTGTGCAGGACTGAGCAAGAAGCACAGGATCAAACTCAAAGTTAGTCTGAGTCCTGATTTTGGTGGTGAGACCCAAGGAAAATTCATCAACAAACATTGTGCTGCCAGATACATTAATAAACAAATCCCTAAAAGGGCCTGTAATTCAGTTGAAATGAGTTAGAAAAATCTTAAGGATCCTTATAAATTAAATACAAACTTGCTCTCAAGCAATCATTTGATTCACTCTATATCAACGATTGTGCACTTCAGCATCACCTGAGGATCTTTAAGAAAATATCTGTGCCAGGCCTCATTTCCAACGATTTAATTTGTCTGGGGATGGAGGCCCAAGACAGTCGTAGTTTTTGAGGGCTTCCAGGTGACTCTAATGCATAGCCACAGTTGGAAGCCCTGCGCCTATCTCACAGGTGTCTGGGTCTCTACTATCTGTGTCCGCTTAGTTGCCAGGAGGCAGCAAGTTAGCCCACGTGTGCAAGATGCTTCCTTCCATACCAGGTAGGAACATTGCTCTCTGAAACTCGGAGTGTGCCTGGGCAGAAGCTCTGGAGCCCAATACCTGAATTTTACAAGCCAGATTGCTGCTTTTTGCTCAGTGCCTGTGTGCCTGCATACATGGGTCTCCTGATACTCAGGCACGGCAGATGACTTTCACCTTTTAGTGTTTTGCTCACTGCTGCATCTGCGGAGCCTAGAATGGTGCCTGGTACAATTAATTAATTTGAGATGGAGTCTCGCTCTGTCACCCAGGCTGGAGTGCAGTGGAGCCATCTCAGCTCACGGCAACCTTCGCCTCCCGCGTTCAAGCAATTCTCCTGCCTCAGCCGCCCGAGTAGCTGGGATTACAGGCAACCGCCACCACGCCCGACTAATATTTTGGTATTTTTCGTAGAAACGGGGTGTCACCATGTTGGCCAGGCTGATCTCGAACTCCTGACCTCAAGTGATCCGCCCGCCTCGGCGTGGGATTACAGGCGTGTGCCACCGCGCCCGGCCTAGAGGCAATTTTCTATTTCTGACTTGCTAGGCTAGTCAGAGGAAGACGCCTTTACAGGTTTGGGCAGGCAGCTGGGAAAGGCACACGGCCCAGGGCTCCTCCTCCACCCAGCCCCACCCCTCCTCGGCTGAAGACCAGCCCTAATAAGGCAGCGACCAGAATTAGCACCAGGTCAAGTGCACTCCAGGCGGGACAGTGGGCAGACCCTACCTCGCGCATGCGAATAGCTTCAGTGCCGGCTCCTTCAAGAGCGGGCGCAGACTCAAAGCCGTTGCTTCCGCCCTTACTCCCCTCAGCTCGTCCCCGGGCGGGGCGGAGGCAGGGCTGGGCGAAGAGGCGTGACGGCGCTGTGCGCGTGCACAAAAGGGAGCTGTGGTGGGCGCGCCGCGGCACAGCTGGCTTGAGCAACTGGAAACAAGATGCAGGTGAGCTGGGACGGGGCTCGGGTCTGGGGGCTGCGGCCCGTTCGTTTGTCTCATTGGGATCCAGCCGGCGGTGGACGCCCGCCCTGTGGGAAACTCCGGCGCTGCAGGCACTAGGGAGGCCCGGCGCGTCCAGGCCCCGCGCAGGCGCAGTGCGGGAGGGCAGGCGTGGTCCCACCAGGACCCACGGCCTGGGCTTCCCGGCTTCTCTGTGCCCGGTCCCCCAAACTTCATCTCCTCCAGGTCTCTCCCCACCCGGGCTTGTGAAGGTCTTGCCAGATCCCGCCTGACAAAAGTTACCTCCTCTACTGAACTCCTCTAAGGCACACCTGGGCAGAGGAAGCGGCGGGTCCGGCCCAGGGTTCCCCCACGTAAAGCAGCGGCGCAGCCCTTGCTCAGGGCTTAGTTACACCCTCTTCCCCCGGGCTCTGGGGTCCAGTTGGGACGCGCTCCCTATCTGACCGCTCGGGTTCCAGACCCCACCCCTCGCGAGGGTCCCTCTGTTTCGTTTTTTTTTTTTTTTTAATTAAAATAGGTACAATTATTTTTCTGTAGCTGCAATTTACTAGCGGAATTTGGTTAAAGCCTAAAGAGAATGAATGAAAACACCATGGAAATGGGCACCATTGTGGGCAAAAATCTATGCCAACTAAATTTTGTCACTGTCCAAGGATCCCGCTGTGGTCAGAAAGTCTAATCTCTGCTCAGTGGCAGATGGAGAGGAGATGGTGCGGGTTTTGCTGGGGAGGGAGGCATTAGGGTCTGGAGGGGAGGGCGTATCTGCCGGGAGCCACTTACTTTCTTTCCTTTTTTTTTTTTGAGACCGGGTCTTGCTGTGTTGCCCAGATTGGAATGCAGTGGCACTGTTACAGCTCACTGCATCCTCGACCTCCCGGGGCTAAGCCATCCTCCCTTGTCAGCCTCCGAAGTAGCTGGGTCCACAGGCGTGCACCCACCACTCTGGGCTAATTTTTTGTACAGATGGGGTCTCCCTGTATTGCCCAGCCTCATCCTTCCAAAGAGCTGGGATTAGAGGATGAGCCACCTCGACTGGCCTAGACACTCTAAATGGTGAAGTGGGAGCTTGAGGGCTGCCCTGGCCTCCTTTGCATCCCCTGTCCTTCAGGTTCCTTGAGGCCTTCCCTGACCACCCAGTAGAAAGGATTCTGCTCTTTTTTTTTTTTTTTTTTTTTGAGATGGAGTCTCACTCTGTGGCCCAGGCTGGAGTGCAGTTGCGCGATCTCAGCTCACTACAAGCTCCGTCTCCTGGGGTTCACGCCATTCTCCTGCCTCAGCCTCCCGAGTAGCTGGGACTACAGGCGCCCGCCACCACACCCGGTTAATTTTTTGTATTTTTAGTAGAGACGGGGTTTCACCGTGTTAGCCAGGATTGTCTCGATTTCCTGACGAGATCCGCCCGCCTCGGCCTCCCAAAGTGCTGGGATTACAGGCGTGAGCCACCGCGCCGGGCCTCATTTTTTCTTTTGATATATCTCAGAATTGTCACACAGGGTTGGGGTTGGAGGCCAGTTATCCCAGTGCCCTTTTCACAGTGCTCCTGATTTCATATTCCAAAGCAAGCCTGAGCTCCATTAGCAGTGTTCTTGCTGCACCATGCAAACCGGTGCTTGGGCAGCTGGTTTGGATCAGACCTTTTTTTTTTTTTTTTTTTTTTTTAGCAAGTCTCGCTGTGCCAGCTGGAGTGCTGGCGATCTCGGCCACTGCAGCTCCCTCCCGTCACCCATCTCCTGCCAGCCTCCCATCTGATACAGCCCCGCCCTCCCGCATTTTTGCATGTAGACTCCAGTTCCAATGTCCTCTCCCCTTGCCCCCCCCCCCCAGCGGATCACTGACCCCGCCCCCCCAGGCCACTTTTAGATCAGTCTTTGTGACTTTGATCACAAAGGTGATTTTGATCCTGGCTGATTTGGCCAGCCGTTCTAGCACGGCAGTGCCTCTAAATGTCGTGCCTCTCCTAGGCTTGTGAAGATTCGGTGACAAGGTACAGGAAAAAGGGCTTAGAAGAGTGCCCCGCATTTTATGAGCTACTCTGAGAAGTCTCAGCTTTTGCTCTCAGGTTTGGCCGTTAGATAGTTGTCAGCCAAGCCTCATCTGCAGCCTGAGATCCTCAAAATGTCACAGTCTTTTTGCTTTTGGGCCCTACTCATGCCGCAGGCCGCTGTGCCTGGAATATTTTCTTGATTACGGGCGCGTACCTGGCTAATTTTTGTGTTTTTGGTGGAGATGGGGTTTCACTATATTGGCCAGTCTGGTCTTTAATTCCTGACCTCAGATGTTCTACCTGCCTTGGCCTCCCGAAGAGCTGGGATTACAGGCGTGAGCCACTGATCCCAGCCTGGAAGATGATGATGAGGATGATGATGATGATTATTATTATTTTGAGACGGAGTCTAGCTCTGTCTCCCAGGCTGGAGTGCGGTGGCGTGATCTCGGCTCACTGCAAACTCCGCCTCCCGGGTTCCCGCCATTCTCCTGCCTCAGCCTCCCGAGTAGCTGGGACTAAGGGCGCCCGCCACCTCGCCCGGCTAGTTTTTTTGTATTTTTAGTAGAGATGATCCTGTTAGCCAGGGTGATCTGGATCTCCTGACCTCGTGATCCGCCCACCTTGGCCTCCCAAAGTGCTGGGATTACAGGCGTGAGCGACCACGCCCGGCCTGCAAGATTATTTTTAAGTCCCCAGACTCCTGTCACAAGTTGCTTCCCACCCTCAGGTGGAATGTTACCTCCTCTATAGGGAACATCCCTGTCTACTCTGTGGAATGTGGGTCCTGGGTAATTCTTTTTTTTTTTTTTTTTTTTGAGACGGAGTCTCGATCTGTCGCCCAGGCTGGAGTGCAGTGGCCGGATCTCAGCTCACTGCAAGCTCCGCCTCCCGGGTCCACGCCATTCTCCTGCCTCAGCCTCCCCAGTAGCTGGGACTACAGGCGCCGCCACCTTGCCCGGCTAGTTTTTTGTATTTTTTAGTAGAGACGGGGTTTCACCGTGTTAGCCAGGATGGTCTCGGCCTCCCAAAGTACTGGGATTACAGGCTTCAGCCACCGCTCCCGGCCTGGGTAATTCTCTAAAACAGCTTGTTTGTCATTGCACTTGCCACAGTTTTATCTATGTATAGTTTGTATATGCACTCTTTTGTTGCCTGTCTCTTCCTCTTGACTGTAACACAGGTGACTCTTGCATTCACCACTCTTCCCCATTGCCTACAGTAATTTACATGTGGTAGATACTTAAATTTTATCTGTTGAATGAGTCACTCTCAGTCATTATTATTATTATTATTATTATTATTTGAGACTGTCTCACTGTTGCCCAGGCTGGAGTGCAGTGGCACGATCTCGGCTCACTGCAAGCTCCGCCTCCCGGGTTCACACCATTTTCCTGCCTCAGCCTCCCAAGTAGCTGGGACTACAGGTGCCCGCCACCACGCCCGGCTAATTTTTTGTATTTTTAGTAGAGACGGGGGTTACACACTATTAGCCAGGGTGGTCTCTATCTCCTGACCTCAGCCTTCCGAAGTGCTGGGATTACAGGCGTGAGCCACCGCACCTGGCACTCTCAGTGATTATTAAAAATATTGAACACATTCCACGTCAGAGCCTTGGTATCAGTATTAATGCTGATCTGCACATCCCATCCTAATTTTTACCCCAAGAATAGCTCCTCCATTCAGGGAGGGGTAGACAGGAAGAACGAAACAGGGGCTGTGGATCTTTTGACACTTTCTCAGAAATAGTTCACAGACTGTGGTGTGAATTCTTCCCTTCCTGTCCCTTTTTCCATTTGGCCCCGTGCCCAGTGCGGCCTCCTACATGCTAGACTTAGCACTCATGGTAACCTTGGTCCCGCTCTTCTAGGACCCCAACGCAGACACTGAGTGGAATGACATCTTACGCAAAAAGGGTATCTTACCCCCGAAGGAAAGGCTGAAAGAACTGGAAGAGGAGTCAGATGAGGAGCAGCACATCCTCCAGCAGTCAGTGGGTGAGTTCACTGGCTTTCCTCTGCATCTGTCTGGGTTGGGAGATGGCTCCCTAAGCCTCTGACTGCCCTGCCAGGAGACAGGTTGGAGTGCCAGCATGGACACTGTGTGTGTGGGACCTCAGACGAGACACAGGGCATCTCTCGCCTTCACCTTCCTGAGCCACAGACTTAACGGGACTTCATATGTGTCCCACAAGTCCTTGTCCATGTCAGATGAGAACTGAAGAAAATACTTCTTTCTGCTTTCTGGTCTGTGATTCCCTTCGATAACGTCATGGAAATTTGTTCAAGATTTTAGTATTTGTGTTTTTTCCTGAGCATATACTTTATTCTCTGGTTTCATTGAGGATATTAACTAAAAATAGCTTCCTTTGGGGAGGCATGTTTGCAATGTGTGGGAGTCTGAGGGGGGTTTTCTCAGGCAGTCATACTGTCTGAATTGGAGTCCCTTGGAGTGCTGGTAACCCCACCCACCTAGTGTTTACTGAAGCAGTCTCTGGAATGAGGCCCAGGAATCTGCATTTTAAACAAGTGCCTTAAAGGATTCTGAGGCTTGTCATAGTTTGAGAAGCATTGGTCACAGGGAGTAGTACTTTTGTCCTCTGACACATTAGAGCTAATTTAGAGAAGGATTTATTAGAAAGTATCCGGCGAGTGGTTACTGCGTGATTATCATTGTCAGGTGCTTTTCTGGGTTTGGGGATGTAGCTATGCATAAGCCAGACACAATTCTCTGCCCTCAGAGAACCAACATGCTAGTAGGGGAGACAGACAGTAAACAATAAATAAAATAAGGCAGTAAAAGGGACTCGAAAGGGTTGGAGGAGAAGCAGGGTCAGAGAGGGCCTCACCGAGATGACATTTGCGTGGACCTGAAGGAGGTGAAGCTGGCATGTGGGTAAAGACCTGAAGGAGCTGAAGAACGCATTTGAATAGACCTGAGGGAGTTGTTGACCTGAAGGAGGTGAAGAAGACATCTGGGTATTCCTGAAGGGGGCGATGTGAGCGAGTGAAACATGGGCCCTGGCATGGCTGGGAATCCCTGACGAGGCTGGAAGTGCTGTGGGAGAGTGAGTTCAGAGCAGCCTCAGCAGACCCAGTAGCTTCTAGTAAGCACCTTGGCCTTTACACCTAATGAGGCAGGAAGCTTTTGGAAGTTTAAAAGGAGGAGGGACATTTTCTCTTTTTTTTTTTGAGATGGAGTCTCGCTCTCTTACCCAGGCTGGAGTGCTGTGGCGCAGTCTTGGCTCACTACAACCTCCACCTCCCAGGTTCAAGCGATTCTCCTGTAGCAGCCTCCCGAGTAGCTGGGATTACAGACATGTGCCGCCACGCCTGGCTCATTTTTGTGTATTTTTAGTAGAGGTGAAGTTTTCACCATGTTGGCCAGGCTGGTCTAAAACTCCTGACCTCAAGTGATCCACCCACCTCGGCCTCCCAAAGAGCTGGGATTATAGGCCACTGCACCCCGCCAAGGGATGCATTCACTTTGAGATCCCTGTTAGACAAATAACCACATTAAGAGGGCCCTTGAGTATGTTTTTCTCCACATTAGAGAAGTCTGGGCTGGAGGCCTATACTTTGTCAGCATATTGATAGCATTGAACGCCATGAGATTAGATGCAGTCACCAAGGGAGTGGGTGTGGATAAAGAAGGAAAGTAGTCAAAGGTTTGAGCCTGGGGAATTTTAATCAGCCAAGGGTTCCAAAGTGTGGCGGTGGCTCACTCCTATAATCCCAGCGCTTTGAGGTGGGCAGATCACTTGAGGTCAGGAGTTCAGGACCAGCTTGGCCAACATGGTGAAACCCTGTCTCTATTAATGATACAAAAATTAGCTGGGCATGGTGGCACACGCCCGTAATCCCAGCTCCTCAGGAGGCTGAGGCAGGAGAATTGCTTGAATCTGGAAGGCGGAGGTTCTCAGTGAGTCGAGATCGCACCATTGCACTCCAGCCTGGATGACAAGAGTGAAACTGTCGCAAAAAAAAAAAAAAAAAAGCATGAGGCAGGGTGGGGTGGGGTAGGAGAAGAGAGGGGAGGAGGATCTGAGGGCTTGGGGAAGATGCTGTCAATCAAGAAATTGGGATTACAGGTGTGAGCCACAAGGCCCGGCCTCTCAGCTTCTAATGTAGTGTGGTGCCTTAAGTAATTTTTGCTTAGGTGGGCTAAGGATCTGGTGGTGTGTGCATATCTTTAGGAGAAAAGAGAGGGGAAAAAAGAAAAATGTTTGTTCATCTTTTTAAATTTTTGCTTTTTGCCGTTGTAACTAAATTCAGTGAAAACATATGAAGATATGACTTTGGAAGAGCTGGAGGATCATGAAGATGAGTTTAATGAGGAGGATGAACGTGCTATTGAAATGTACAGGTAAGTGCCACCCAGAAGGGCTGGTTTTTTTTGTTGTTGTTTTGTTTTGTTTTGTTTTGTTTTGGCGTGGCAATAAAATGTGTGGGCTGAGCATGGTGACTCATACCTGTAGTCCCAACACTTTGGGAGGCTGAGGCAGGCGGATTGCTTGAGCTCAGAAGTTTGAGACCAGCCTGTGAAACCCCGTCTCTACAAATACAAAAATTAGCTGAGTGTGGTGGCGAATGCCTATAGATCCAGCTACTCAGGAGCCCGGGAAGTGGAGGTTGCAGTGAGCTGAGACTGTGCCACTGCTCTCCAGCCTGGGCGATAGAGCCAGACTCTGTCTCAAAAAATAAAAAGAAATGTGTGTCCTTCAAAAAATTAATTTTCAGCTGAAACATTTGGGAGCAACTATAGTTAAATAATGATATTGTGAATTTTAGCAAACTGATCTTAGATTTTTGCTATGAGACGGATAAATAAACATGGGCTTTTACAAGCATTGCCTTCTAGAAGATGTGTGTGTGCACGTGTTTGTGTGCGGATGTAAGATGTTTCTCTCCTTGTTTTGTGCAGACGGCAGAGACTGGCTGAGTGGAAAGCAACTAAACTGAAGAATAAATTTGGAGAAGTTTTAGAGATCTCAGGGAAGGATTATGTTCAAGAAGTTACCAAAGCTGGCGAGGGCTTGTGGGTCGTCTTGCACCTTTACAAACAAGGGTGAGCTGATCTTCTACTCCATCTATCAAATGTTAATTTGAATTTATGTCTTCAGGATCTCAGGCCTTACCTATATCAGAGAGTTTAAAAAAATTTTTTCTGGGCCAGGCGTGGTGGCTCACACCTGTAATCCCAGCACTTTGGGAGGCCGAGGCAGGTGGATCACGAGGTCAGGAGATCGAGACCATCCTGGCTAACACGATGAAACCACATCTCTACTAAAAATACAAAAACAAAAAAAATTAGCCGGGCATGCTGGCGGGCGCCTGTAGTCCCAGCTACTCAGGAGGCTGAGGCAGGAGAATGGTGTGAACCCGGGAGGCAGAGCTTGCAGTGAGCCGAGATCATACCACTGCACTCCAGCCTGGGCGACAGAGCAAGACTCTGTCTCAAAAAAAAAAAAAGAAATTTTTTTTTTTTCTGATACTGAGTTTTTTGTGTTTTTATTGCTGGTTTGCCCAAACCTTATTACTTAATTTTTTGTCTTAAGACTTTCAAATTAATATTTGTGACTAATACGAATGCCTTTGTTAAAGTATAGCAATGGAGACTGCTTTTCTGTTTTCGAAAAGGAATTCCTAAGTTATTTATTCCTTTACAGGAACTCTGACATTTCAACATTCTATGTAATGAATTTATCTCATAGATGGCAAGGCTGGCTTTTACAGTAGTAATTGCCTGAACTGTGTGATACTGAGGGCTTCCGATGTTTCTCAGCTCTCCAGTCTTGTCTTAAACTGTAGAGTCCAGTGCTTATTTAGGGATTTTTTTTTTTTTGAGACGGAGTCTCACTCTGTCGACCAGGCTGAAGTACAGTGGCGTGATCTCGGCTCACTGCAACCTCCATCTCCTGGGTTCAAGTGATTCTCCTGCCTCCGCCTCCCAAGTAGCTGGGATTACAGGCACCTGCCACCAGCTAATTTTTGTATTTTCATTAGAGACGGGGTTTCACCATCTTGGCCAGACTGGTCTTGAAGTCCTGACCTCGTGATCCACTCACCTTGGCCTCCCAAAGTGCTGGGATTACAGACGTGAGCCACTGCGCCTGGCCAGGAACTTCTTTAAAAGCAGGAAACATTTTCTGACATTACATACATTCTAAACCTTCAGCGTTTTCTCATTCCACCTTATAAGAAAGGTATAGCAATTATCTTTTACATTGAAGCTGTTTTTCTGACTTGTTCTGTCAAATAAATTGGACTTTGGATTTGTGTTCTTCAGTATCCCTCAGCATATTAGGAAGTTTTTTAAAAATGTTGATTCAGCTGGGCATGTTGGCTTACACCTGTAATCCCAGCACTTTGGGAGGCCATTGCAGCTGGATCTTGTGCTCAAGAGTCTAAGAGCAGCCTGGGCAACGTGGCGAAACCCTGTCTTTACAAAAAAACCCAAAAACTTAGCTGGGCATGGTGGCGTGTGCCTGTACCCCCAGCTGCTTAGGCGGCTGAGGTGGGAGGATTGCTTGTGAGCCGAGATCACACCACTTCACTCCATTTAGCCTGGGTGACAAACAAGACCCTATGTCAAAAAACAAAACAAAACAAAAAAACAAAAAGTTAATTCATCTTAGCTAGCAGCAGAATTACTTGTGAAACTGTTACAAGGTTTTACATAGGGTAGAAGGGTCATTGAGCTTTGTTCTGTATAAATGTGGGATCATAATTGCTTCTGTTTTCTCTGTGTGTTTTACAGAATTCCCCTGTGTGCCCTGATAAATCAGCACCTCAGTGGACTTGCCAGGAAGTTTCCTGATGTCAAATTTATCAAAGCCATTTCAACAACCTGCATACCCAATTATCCGGATAGGAATCTGCCCACGATATTTGTTTACCTGGAAGGAGATATCAAGGCTCAGTTTATTGGTCCTCTGGTGTTTGGCGGCATGAACCTGACAAGAGATGGTAAGGGCTCTGGGAGACAGGCAGGGCTGTGAGAGATGGGAGGCGCATTTCTGTTGGAGAGAGTATCTGTTTCCTGGACTCCTGTTACGATGGTGGGTCAAGTTCACTTCTGCCTGTGTATGAGTGACTGTTACGAGGACAGAAGCACATTTAATCTCATCTTAGTTGCGTAATCAGGAACAGTTACAACTGGGCTCTACGGATTCATAGTTAAAGGAAGATATGATAGACTTAAATATAAACATTTTTTATTTTGGTGTGGAATATATTTTGTCTCTACAGTTGGATGTTTTTGTAGCTTGAGATCACAACATTCACTTTTGTTTTAATTCACATGAACACAGGGAGATGTTAATGTATATATTTGTATTTTTCTATAGAAATATTCTCAGTTGAGTATCTTAGTAGCTTTTAAATTTATTTACTTATTTATTTATTTATTTATTTTTTGAGACTGAGTCTTGCTCTGTCACCCAGGCTGGAGTGCAATGGTATGATCTCGCCTTACTGCAACCTCTGCTTCCCAGGTTCATGTGATTCTCCTGCCTCTGCCCTCCAAGTAGCTGGGATTACTGGCACCTACCACCACGCCCAGCTAATTTTTGTATTTTTAGTGGAGACGGGGTTTTACCATGTTGGCCAGGCTGGTCGCGAACTCCTGGCCTCAAGTCATCTACCCGCTTCAGCCTCCCAAAGTGCTGGGATTACAGACGTGAGCCACTGCGCCCAGTTAGTAGCTTTTATTTTTTGAAATGGAATTTCACTCTTATTGCCCAGGCTGGAGTGTAATCATGTGATCTCGACTCACTGCAATCTCAGCCCCCCAGGTTCAAGCAATTCACCTGCCTCAGCCTCCCTAGTAGCTGGGATTACAGGCATGTGCCAACATGCCCGGCTAATTTTTTTGTATTTTTAGTAGAGACGGGGTTTCTCCATGTGGTCAGGCTGGTCTTGAACTCCTGACCTCGTGTGATCCGCCCACCTCGGCCTACCAAAGTGCTGGGATTACAGGCGTGAGCCACTGCGCCCGGCCAGCTTTTAAATTTAACTAAAATTTTATTTAATTCTGCCTGTTAGCTTGGAAGGATGTGGGGTTTTTTGTTTTTTTTTTGAGATGGAGTTTTGCTCTTTCACTCAGACTGGAGTGCAGTGGTGTGATCTTGCTTAGTTCACTGGAACCTCCTCCACCTTCTGGTTTCAAGCAATTCTCCTGCCTCAACCTCCCAAGTAGCTGGGATTACAGGTGCCCACCACCACGCCTGGCTAATTTTTGTATTTTTAGTAGAGACAGGTTTTCACCATGTTGGCCAGGCTGGTCTTGAACTCCTGACCTTGTGATCTGCCCACCACAGCCTCCCAAAGTGCTGGGATTACAGGCATGAGCCACTGTGCCCGACTGTGTTTTTTAATTCCTTTTTACCTGTTAAACATGGAGGTATCAAAATACATATCCGCACAGAACCTCAGCCCAGAGGCATTCTTGCCAAGTGAAACTCTATATAATTATTGAAATAATATTTCCAACTATGCTTGACTAGAAAAACATTTTTAAACATGACTTTATATACTGTACCACTAAGATACTCATCTGGCAGCCGGGTGCGGTGGCTCATGCCTGTAATCCCAGCACTTTGGGAGGCCGAGGTGGGTGGATTGCCTGAGGTCAGGAGTTTGAAACCAGCCTGGCCAACATAGTGAAACTCCGTCTCTACTGAAAATACAGAAAATTAGCTCCGCGTGGTGGCAGGCTCCTATAATCCCAGCTACTTGGAAGGCTGAGGCAGGAGAATCACTTGAACCTGGGAGGCAGAGGTTGCAGTTAGCCGAGATCGTGCCATTGCACTCCAGCCTGGGTAACGAGCGAAACTCTGTCTCCAAAAAAAAAAAGATATTCAGCTGGGGAAAGTGTAGATATACAAACATACAAACACACATAAACACACATATAGGAGATACATTAGTTACATATCCAGTGTTCAGAGGTGTACAGCATTTCAAACTACATGTTTGCATCTTATTTTGACCTGTTTTGAGTGTAACATGAGGGGAGAAAGAAGTGTGCAATTGTCTTTATTTCTAAAAAAAAAAGTCTTGAAGTCTAGTGAACTTACATATGATTGCTTTGTGTAAGTGAATAGTAACATTAAATACCCTTATGTACGTATGTGTGGATATATAAAGATAGATATATATTTTTTATTTATTGATTTTTTTTTTAAATTTTTGAGACAGGGTCTTGCTCTGTCACCCAGGCTGGAGTGCAGTGGCGTAATCTTGGCTCACTCCAGCCTCTGCCTCCCGGGTTCAAGCGATTCTCGTGTCTCAGCCTCCCAAGTAGCTGGGACTACAGGCATGCGCCACCATGGCTGGCTAAGTTTTGTATTTTTAGTAGAGATGGGGTTTCACCATGTTCCCCAGGCTGGTTGTGAACTCCTGACCTCAAGTGAGAAGTGATCCAGCCGCCTCCCGAAGTTCTGGGATTATAGGCTTGAGCCACCATGTCCGGCCGAATATAAATTCTTAAGTCAGGAATTCAAAGTCTTTTTTTTTTTTTAAAAGAAACAGGTTGAATTTGCATAACATTCAACCAAAGTACCTAGAGCTACAAAAACTGGTGTTACTCATCTTTGTGGAGCACTTTTTTTTTTTAACCCAGCATGACCGAGGTATGATTGACCAAAACAATTGTATATATTTAAGATATACAACATGGAGATTTAATACAGGTACAATGTGAAATGATTACCACAATCCAATTAATTAACCACTCATCATTTCACATAGCTACCCTTACTGTGGTAAGAATCCTTAAGATCTACTTTCCTCGCAAATTTCAGGTATACAATACATTATTATTCACTGGAGTTACCATGTTCTACATTAGGTCTTCAGAACTTACCCGTCTTATTACTGAAAGTTTGTATCCTTGGCCAACATCTCCCATTTCCACTCGTGCCCCCAGTAATCACCATTCTATTCTGTTTCATGGATCACTTTAAGTTAATAAGACAAGTAAAATTCGACTGAGCACGTTGGCTGAAGCCTGTAATCCTAGCACGTTGGGAGGCTAAGGCTGGAGGATCACATGAGGCCAGGAGTTTGAGACCAGCCTGGGCAACATAGCGAGATCCCATCTCTACAGAAAAGAAATTAGCCAGGTGTGGTGGTGCACACCTGTAATCTCAGCTACTAGGGAGGTGGGCGGGAGGATCATTTGAACCCAGGAGTTCAAGGTTACAGTGAGCTGTGATTGCACCATAGCACTCTAGCCTGGGTGAGGAGGGAGAGCCTGTCTCCAGAAAAGTAGATTAAGATAAGACTTCAGTAAAATTGGTTTTCAGATTTTTTTTTTTTTTTTTTTTGAGACAGTCTTCGCTTTGTCGCCCAGGCTGGAGTGCAGTGGCACGATCTCAAGGTACCCGCTACCATGGCTGGCTAATTTTTTGTATTTTTAGTAGAGATGGGGTTTGACCGTCTTAGCCAGGATGATCTCGATCTCCTGACTTCATGATCCACCTGCCTTGGCCTCCCAAAGTGCTGGGATTACAGGCGTGAGCCACCACACCCGGCCTGGTTTTCAGATTTTAATCGTGTGTCCAATTAGCAGAACTCTCTGCCTTGATGTTCTTTAAGCAAAGCCATTTGTTGTAGAATCTCTTGGGTAGTCCTTTGGTTCTGCCTGGGCTCTTCTCTGAAGTAGGCAAATACATCACTTGATTTTGCTTCACTTGGTCTCAGACCACAGGAATTTCACTGATTTTAAGAGTGAAGTATTAGAGCTGAGTCTTCAGTTACTGATTGTTTATTATCTGGTGCTTTACTTTTTTTTATTAGTTGGAACAAATGTGTAAGTTCTAGGGTATCACCATACATTTATTCTTTGACCCCAATAGATTGAGATACTGGACATGAGGCTGAAGAATTTATTAAAATTGGATTTAATGGTTAGATTGCCAGCAGGTCTGTGGAAATTATTTCCTTCAAATTTTTCATGCTGATTTCCTTCCTGGGAAATTGTCCAAACTGGGAAATTGTAGTCATCAGAGGATAGGTTTATTCTTTGTATTTTTGAGACAAGGTCTTGCTCTGTCTTGTAGGCTGGAGTGCAGTGACATGATCATGGTTCACTGCAGCCTTGAACTCCTGGGCTCATGCGATCCTGCCACTTCAGCCTCCCAAAGAGCTGGGATTATAGGCACACACCACCACTGTACCCAGCGAATTTTTATTTTTTACTTTTATTTTTATTGTTGAGACAGTCTCACTGTCGCCCAGGCTGGAGTGCAGTGGTGTGATCTTAGCTGTCTGCAACCTCTGCCTCCCAGGCTCAGGTGATCCTTACACCCCAGCCTCCTAAGTAGCTGGGACCACAGGCACATGCCATCATGCCTGGCTGATTTTTCATCATGTTGCCCGTCTGGAACTCCCGGGCTTAAGCAATCCACCCGCGTTGGCTTCCCCAAGTGCTGGGATTACAAGCGTGAGCCACAGCACTTGGCGTACCCAGGAAATTTAAACATTTTTTGAGATGAGTCTCCCTATATTGCCCAGGGTGATCTTCAACTCCTAGCCTTAAGTGATCCTCCTGCCTTAGCCCCCCAAAGTGTTGGGATTACAGGCGTGATACATTGTGCTGGGCCAAATTTTGATAATTATATTTTCTACTTAGAAAAAACTAGCTTGATGGCCTTAGGGTGAGGGGACCTTTGCAGCACAGTGCCTTAGGTGATTTGCTTTTTCTTTACCACGTAGAATTGGAATGGAAACTGTCTGAATCTGGAGCAATTATGACGGACCTGGAGGAAAACCCCAAGAAGCCGATTGAAGACGTGTTGCTGTCCTCGGTGCGGCGCTCTGTCTTCATGAGGAGGGGCAGCAGTTCCGAGGGTGACTGAGGCTACAGCTGCTATCAACATGCCGAACTTTCTTGTGACAAATTGTCTGGATTTTTTAAAAAAGGAAAAAGCAAGAATGAATCCTTCTGTTTTTTAGTTTTGTATAAATTATGTTTCAAATCTTTACATTTTAGAAATAATCATTGCTGGAAATTCTGTTAAATATTTTGGAGCTCTTTTTTTTTAATTAGAGTATTTCCTCTAAAAAAATTAAAACCAGCCATTTGTATGGCAGATGTCTGTTTTCCTCGTTTATATTTTAAGCCATAAAACCTAGTCACTATTTTTTGACATATAACTATAAAAATAGTTTTAAATGTGAATAAATTATGCAGTGGAAAATTGCAAACTAAGCCTTATAGATACATTGTTTATTTTTATTTTATAAAGAGAGCAATGAGATTATTAACTCAAAATACAGGAATGCTCTCTAGGACAAAAGAATCTTAGTATTTATTGAAGAAACAGACAATTTTTGTGAAACATTCCCGTATCGAAGCAATAACGGAAAGGTTCCAGTTTACTGCCATATTTGGTTAAATGTGTTTCCTTGCTAAAATAGTTAATCTCAGACTGTTAACTATTTTTTTTTTTGAGATAGAGCTTTGCTGTGTTGCTGAGGCTGGAGTGCAGTGGCACAATCTCAGCTCACTGCAGCCTCTGCCTCCTGGGTTCAAGCAATTTTCCTGCCTCAGCCTCCTGAGGAGATGGGATTACAGACGTGCACCACCATGCCCGGCTGATTTTGTACTTTTAGTAGAGTTTCATCATGTTGGCCGAGCTGGTCTCAAACTCCTAACCCCAAACTCGGCTTCCCAAAGTGTTGGGATTACAGGTGTGAACCACTGTGCCTGCCCTGTTAACTAATTTTGATTACTGTAAGAGGACATTGAATTAATTTTTGGAAATATATAAGCATACACATAAATAAACTATCTCAATCAATAAACTCATTTTGTGGTTCATTAGCATGATCACGTGTGTGTGAGATGTGCCCCCCTCAAATATTGTTAGGCTGTTGGCACATTACCCATATGACATGAGAAAAACAATATACCAAGATGTTTTGTGAACCAGATCCTGTTAGTATTTCTCACTTAACAAACATTGATACTGAACAATTTAGAGGAAATATTTTCTGATATTTGTGTTGAATGATGTAGTGCTGGTTTGAATCTTAAATAAGAATCAGCATGGAGTTCTTTTCGATTATGTTTTAAAATTTATTTTTGCTCTAATTCAAAGAATGACAAGCAACTTGGACCCATTTTATCTGTCAGAAGTGTCTGTCTTAGATATTTGGATTCCTGCCCCCCTCCTTTTTTTCTTCTTATAGAGATGGATTCTCCCTGTGTTGCCCAGGCTGGTCTTGAACTCATGGGCTCAAGTAATCCTCCCATCTCCGCCTCCCAAAATGTGGATTACAGGTATGAGTCACTGCACCCGGCCCACATACGCAAGAGCCAGCACTGCCAATGACATATTCCCTGGTGGTGTACTTTGAAAGTGCTTCATGGAATTTTAATGGCAGGGTTGGAGCCAATTTGGTCAGTCCTCTTACTTGGATGCTGGTTCCGTGGGGTTTGTAGGAGAGCCACCTTCTTAGATTTTGGTCTTGGTAGCTGACATGAGATCTTGAGGGAAGAACAAAGGTGGAAAGTTGAATGCTGTGTTTGCCTGACAGCCTTAATGTGCATATTTACAAGGAAAAAAAGGTGGTGCTTGAACATGGGGCAGTGTCCACAGTGACAGATAACAGCTTGAGTCCACTGAAGCCCACACAGGATCTAATTCTAAATTATTAGCTCTGCCACTTCAAAGTGTGAAAGCTGTGCCTCATAATTTAGCCTGCACAGCAGATGAAGACATTTAGTTTGAGCGCAGCAAAAGCTCTGGTGCCTGTGGCATCGGCAGATGAGCCCTGATTAATTCTTGAGACTTCCCTGTAATACTATTATCTTTCTAATTCCTTTGGCACATTAGTGATGTAACAGAGGTGAAAGACTTGGTGCTGAAGCACTGAGTCCCCCCAGTTCCACAGCAGGAACACAGCAGTGACTGGGGGGGACACAAGGACACCTGGAAGCTGCCTTCTGTGCTTGGAGGAAAGGGTTGTGGGGAAAGGTTAAGCAGGTGCTAGGTAGTCCCCCACTCGTCCCCACTTTTTTTTTTTTTTTTTTGAGACAGGGTCTCCAGTTGCCCAGGCTGGAATGCAGTGGCTTGATCTCATCTCACTGCAGCCTCAACTTCCCGGGCTCAAGTGATTCTCCCACCTCATCCTCCTGAGTAGCTGGGACTACAGGTGAGCACCATCATACCAGGCCGATTTTTTTTTTTTTTTTGTATTTTATGTTGAGACGGAGTTTGACCATGTTGGCTGCCTGGTCTTAAACTTCTGGGCTCAAGTGATCCACCCACCTCAGCCTTCCAAAGTGCTGGGATTACAGTTGTGAGCCACTGCGCCCTGCCTAGGTAGCCCTTTCTTGAGTGATTGGTGGGAAATGATTCCAGAAAATTGGGATAATAAATGATTGGGAATAGTGAAATTGATAAGATTATATAATCAAATATTTCTTTCTTTTGTGGAGGAGAGAAGGGATGTGGATAGATGACATACACCTCCTTCATTGCACACCTAACTTCACCTTCTCACACCCTGAAGGGACAGTCATTGCTTCTGCAGAGACCGACAGCACAGCCGCTTCCTGGTGGTTCAGAAGGACTTCAGAAAGTTGCGCTGGACTGGGCAAGGTGGCCCATGCCTGTAATCCCAGCAATTTGTGGGGCCAAGATGGGCAGATCACCTGAGGATAGGAGTTTGAGACCAGCCTGGCCAACATGGTGAAACCCCATCTCTACTAAAAATACAAAAAATTAGCAGGGCATGGTGGCACAATGCCTGTAATCCCAGCTACTCGGGAGGCTGAGGCAGGAGAATCACTTGAACCCGGGTGGTGGAGGTTACAGTGAGCCAAGCACGCCACTGAACACTCCAGCCTAGGTGACAGAGTGAGACTCCATCTCAAAAAACAAAAAATAGCTGTGCTGGCTATGAAAGGCATCTATGAGAGAGATGGAAGGGCAATTTAGAAGGGTGTCCCTCTGTCATGACGGAGGGCCAAAAGTTGTTTTTTTTTTTTTTTTTTTTTTTGCATTTATTACCTCCAGCTTTAAACTCAACCTTCTCATGTAATCCCAAATCTTGACCAACTACTTTTTACGTATGGCAGGCAACAAGTGTTGTGACTGCAGCGCCTGCCTGAGAAACATGCTCCCATGAAAGGGGCCGGGTTTGGTGGCTCATGCCTGTAATCCCAGCACTTTGGGAGGCTGAGGCTGGTGGATCACCTGAGGTCAGGAGTTCCAGGCCAGCCTGACCAACATGGTGAAACCCCATCTCTACTAAATACAAAAATGCCGGGCATGGTGGCTCACTATAGTCCCAGCTACTTGGGAGGCTGAGGCAGGAGAATTGCTTGAATCTGGGAGGCGGAGATTGCAGTGAGCCAAGATTGCACCACTGCACTCCAGCCTGGGCAACAAGAGTGAAACTTTGTCTCAAAAAAAAAAAGTACTTTTGTCCTGCTTACAGAAACCAACTGTTACTCACAGATATAACCTTGGAGACAGGTGGGTCTCAGTGTCAAGTGAAGATGTGGCTGTTTCCAAGTCCCCTCCCTCCCTCTCTGCTTTTGACCACATTCCCTACCCCATTCTTTGCTCCAGTAATCATCCATCTTGACTTCCGCTTCTCCCTGGACGTGGGGCCTTCAGGTAGTAACAGTGTTAAGGTCCTGTGGCAGAGGCTGCTGGTTGCCCACCAGTATCCAGGATTCTACCCCCCACTCCAGTGGCAATGGGACCAGCTGAAAGAGTAAACCCCGGCGTCTCTTGAGCCGTGGGTGGCTGGCTGGGAGTTCAGCTCTGGGCAAGCTGCTACAAGGGACAGACGACTGTCATGTGCCCTTTGTGGGCTTCACCCCCGTCCTTCTACTTTCTGATGGAAGTGTGGGTGCAACTGCAGCCTACGTGGGCCATGAGGCATTTATATAGAGAGGCAAAGCAGTAAGGACAATATCCCCGAAGATGTTGTAGAGCCCCTGTATCCCACCCTGGACTGTCCTCTCTGGACATAACTTCCATCTTGGTCTCTTAGTAGCAGCTGATGCATTTCCTGACAAAACCGCCTGTCAAAGAAAACCTCAACCAAAACCTTCATTCTAGCTTTCTACTGCCCAATGCTGAATAGCACGTAGTACCCTGACATAGCACAAGAGTACCTGTATTCCCTGCCACTAGCTGTCACCATTGCCTTTCAGTAACTTCACGAGCCCGGCTTTTGGACTTCGGTTTCCAATACTTGAACACTGAACAACCCACCTGATGACTCAAGCTGTTGGATAAAACTTATTTTTAAATTTTATGTTCGTAACTGTCTCACTGAGTTGGTAAGAAAGGAAAACATTCTGAGAGGCCAAAAACAAAGTGAAAGCAGGACTCCAGAAAGGTAAGAGGGTGTTCCACTTTTCCCCCTAGGGACACAAGCCAAATCTTAGTGATGCTGTGCTTCTGTTAGGACGGACTTGTGGGGCCCAGGTGACAGGGGGTTAGCCTGGGGAGTGTCTACGTTGGGGGGTCTGAATAGGAGGTCTCCCTGCAAACAGCGGGAATCCCAAAAGATTGCATTCAGTGAGGGAAAACTGGCACTAGTTGGAAGAGAACATAGTTGTCCCTGAGATGCTAACTACAAGCCTTCTCTCATGCAGGTTTGTAGTTCGAATTCTCATGCTACATCAGGTCTAAAAACCTCTCAAACCAGGTTCTGAAAGAGGCCCTAGGCTGGGCGTGGTGGCTTACGCCTGTAATCCCAACACTTTGGGAAGCCGAGAAGGGAGGATCACCTGAGGTCAGGAGTTCAAGACTAGTCTGGCCAACATGGTGAAACCCCGTCTCTACTAAAAATACAAAATTAGGTGTGGTGGTGGGCGCCTGTAATCCCAGCTACTTGGGAGGCTGAGGCAGGAGAACCGCTTGAACCTGGGAGGCAGAGGTTGCAGTGAGCAGAAATCACACCATTGTACTCCAGCTTGCCCCCAACCCCACCAAAAAAAAAAAGGCTGGGTATGGTGGCTCACACCTGTAATCCCAGGACTTTGGGAGGCCGAGGCAGGCGGATCACGAGGTCAGGAGATTGAGACCATCCCGGCTAACACGGTGAAACCCTGTCTCTACTAAAAATACAAAAATTAGCTGGGCGTGGTGGCGGGCACCTGTGGTCCCAGCTGCTCCGGAGGCTGAGGCAGGAGAATGGCGTGAACCTGGGAGGCGGAGCTTGGAGCTTGAAGTGAGCTGAGACTCCGTCTCAAAAAAAAAAAAAAAAAAAATGGTGCGCTAGGCTGGTAGTACCTCTGAGCTCACGGCCAAAGCAACTGCATATCTATGCTAGAACACACCTTTGATTTAGCCTCAAACTCTCTCCACCGATAAAGCTCCAAGGAACATGAGCTTCTAGTAAAAATATCACAAACCCACAAAATCACAGGATGCCACAGATAAGGCATCCGGAATGAAAGCCAGCAGAAAACAGCACAGCCAGACCTGCAAAGACAGGAGAATGGAATTTTCAGACATAAAATATACGATGAATGTTTTTTATATGTTATCTAAAAGTGTAAAAAAAAAAAAAGTACCTTATATAAAAATGAATTCCTTAAAAAAATAACAGAAGAGCGAATTAATGAACTAGAAAGCAGAACCAATTCCCCCGAAGCACAGGGACAAATGGGTGGAAATACAAATGTTACATTAAAATACGTGATCCTGGCTGGGTGCAGTGGCTCACACCTGTAATCCCAGCACTTTGAGAGGCTGAGGCAGGCGGATCACTTGAGGTCAGGAGTTCGAGACCAGCCTGGCCAACATGGTGAAAGCCCGTCTACTAAAAATACAAAAATTAGCCAGGTGTGGTGGTACACACCTGTAGTCCCAGCTACTCTGGAGGCTGAGGCAGGAGAATTGCTTGAACCTGGGAGGCAGAGGTTGCACTGAGCTGAGATAATCGTGCCATCGCACTCCAACCTGGGCACAGAATGAGATGCCATCTCAAAAAAAAAAAAAAAAAAAAGTGGTCTTGTGTTAATTTGCTTAAGAAAAAGATGCGGAAGACTGAGGTGGTCTGGCATGTCTCAAAGAAATTTAGGAGAGAACTGGAAGTAGAAAGTATTTGAAAAGATAAAGACATTTTCCAGAATTGATGCAAGACACCGATTCGCATATTTGGAAACTTACACAAATCCCAAGTGAGTTAAATAAAATAAATCCATACCTCCATATATATTGAAGTTGCAGGATATCAGGGAAATTTGTAAAGACAGCGCCAAAAGTCAGACGACCTATGAGATAGTATCGATGAGGCTTACTGACCTCCCAACAGCAGCAAGGAAAGCCAGAAGACAGTGGAATAGTGTCATCAATGGCTTAAGGGAAAAAGCACCTGTTAATCCAAAGTTGTTTACAGCCAGTGAAGCTGTACTGTAGGAATGAACTAGAATGAACTAGATGAAATAGACATTTCCGACATAGAATAGAGGTGTTTGTTACCAGTGGACATTCACTAAAGGAAAGTTAAGGAATTTGCAGCCAGGAGCTGTGGCTCACACCTGTAATCTCAGCACTCTGGGAGGCCAAGATGGGCAGATCACCTGAGGTCAGGAGTTCAAGACCAGCCTGGCCAACATGGTGAAACTTCATCTCTACTAAAAGTACAAAAATTAGCCGGGTGTGGTGGCGGGCACCTGTAGTCCCAGGTAATCTGTAACCTGTAATCCCAGACTGAGGCAGAAGAATCGCTTGGACCCAGGAGGTGGAGGTTGCAGTGAGCTGAGATTGCGCCACTGCATTCCAGCCTGGGTGATAAGAATGAAGCTCCTTTCCAAAAAAAAGGGAATTTGCTTTGTGCAGAAGGATGATGAACTGATGAAAGTTCTAAGGTTCAAGAAAGCATGTTGGCCTAAAAAAGGGGAGTGGAAATCTGAATGAACATTGACTTCACGTAGTAACGCAAAGAATGTCTTGTTTGGGATATAAAGAACAAAATACAACTAAAAAACAGGACAAAAGAGTACACAAGCTGAAGGAGGATACATTGGAGTTCAAGCATTCTTAGACCTTTATAAAGTATTCAAGAAGTTGGCAAACTTATGCATGTTAAAAATATTTTATTCAAGGTAACAGTAAAAAAAAAATTTGAGTGTGTAACTTTTAAAGTAATGGGGGAAAAAAAATCTCAGTTAATTCAAAAGAAGACCAGATGGAAGGATAAAAAGAAACAGAAAAGCAGGTCTTAGAAAGTCCAACATAAGATTTTAGAAGGAAATCTAAAACAGTAATCACAGTAAATATAAATACATAACACTCAATAGTCTTACCATATGATCCAGCAGTCATGCTCCTAGGTATTTCCCCAACTACTTGAAAACTTATGTTCACACAAAACCTGCACACAAATGTTTATAGTATCTTTATTCATTATCACTCAAAACTGGAAACAATCAAAACATTCCTCTATTGATGAATGTATAAACATACCGTGGTATATCAGGACAATGGTATGTTTTTCAGCAACAAAAGGAAATGCGCTATCAAGCCACAAAAAGCACCATGGATGTTAAGTGAAATAAGCCAGTCTGAAAGGGGAGGTGGATATTTATCTCCCGATCCTCATGATGAAACTTGACCCCAGTGTTGGGAGTGGGGCCCAGTACGAGGAATTTAAGTCACGGGGGTGGACCCTGCATGGATAGATTAATACCCTCTGATATGGTCTGGATCTGTGTCCCCACCCAGATCCCATGATGTTCAATTGTAATCCCCAGTGTGGGAGTTGGGGACTGGTAGGGGCTGATTGTATCACAAGGGTGGATTTCTCATGAATGGTTTAGCACTATCCCTCTTGGTACTGTCCTCACAATTGATAGTGAGTGAGTCCTTATAAGATCTGATTGTTTGAAAGTGCATAGCACCTCTCCCTTCACTCTCTCACTTGCTCCTGCTCCCACCATGTGAGGCACCTCACTCCCCCTTTGCCTTCTGCCATGATTGGAAGCTTCCTGAGGCCTCCCCAGAAGCAGATGCCAGCATCATGCTTCCTGTACAGCCTGCAGAACCAAACTATGAGCCAATTAAACTTCTTTTCTTTGTAAATTACCCAGTCTCAGGTATTTCTTTGTAGCAACGTGAGAACAGACTAACACACCCTCCCTGAAAGGGAAGGGGGTATGTGCAGTGGAACAAGTACTCACTCTATTCATTTCCATGACAGCTGGTTGTTAAAAAGAGCCTGGCGCCTCCCTCCCCACTCTCTCGCCCTGTGATCTTTGCACATTGGGCCCTTTCACCTTTCACCATGAGTGGAAGCAGGCTGAAGCCCTCGCCAGAAGCAGATGCTGGTGCCGTGCTTCTCGTACAGCCTGCAGAACTGTGGGCCAGATAAACCTCTTCATAAATCACCCAGCCTCTGGTATTTCTTTCTAGCAACACTAAATGGACTAAGACATAACATTCTGGAAAAGGCAAAACTATAGAGACGTTAAAAAGATCAGTAGTTGCCAGGGGTTCAGGGGAGAGTGGAAGGGTTGAATAGGTAAAGCACATGGCACTTTTAGGGAGTCAAACTATTCTGAATGATACAATAATGGTGGAGAGATGATAACAGGGGTTTGTCAAAACTCATAGAATTTAATGGCACAAAGACTGATTTTTTTTTTTTTTGGAGAAGGAGTCTCACTCTGTCGCCCAGGCTGGAGTGCAGCGTTGTGATCTCGGCTCACTGCAAGCTCCGCCTCCCGGGTTCACGCCATTCTCCTGCCTCAGCTTCCTGAGTAGCTGGGACTACAGGTGCCCACCACCACGCCCAGCTGATTTTTTGTATTTTTAGTAGAGATGAGGTTTCACTGTGTTAGCCAGGATGGTCTCGATTTCCTGACCTTGTGATCCACCCACCTGGGCCTCCCAAAGTGCTGGGATTACAGGCGTGAGCCACCGCGCCCAGCTGAGTGAATCTTAATATATGCAAATTTTTAAAAATTCTTTAGAGGGTTGGGGACCCCCTGGATGAATGCAGAATGGGACAAGACAATCTAAGTGCATTACAAACGTATGAAACAACCTCACAGAAGGGGTTGCAGGAAATGTGCTAATCTAAGCAGCACTGGAAATGAGTGGAATCCATGAGGGGAAGGGCAAAAGAAGCTGTACACAAGCACTGTCTCTAGTTGATAAAGTCATTTATCACATGGGTTTGAATTAACAGTTTTAACACTGCTATACATACACAGAGAATCGAACAGTTAAATACATAGATGGCAGATGGTGGGAGCCAGGTTTGTCACTGTTAGTGTGAGAGGCTACAGATAAGTGGGGGGC